ATTTCATACTCTTCCACATCAAATTCATTTTTGTCATTATAGGATACTGATCACTGCCTATTGTGTTATCTATAATTACGTTCCCTCTACTAATGCCTGCCTAGTGACTCTGAAACATAAGTGAGATCAGTTACTGATTCTGTACCCGCTCCTACATTCACTCTTGTTCCACTTCCATCATTCAAACATACGTAATTTTAGTTTTCCATGAGTTCCTCGGTTACATTTCCATTCTCATTCTTATAATTACTCCATACTGTGCTGTGAGCATTAAAGTCTCCACACCATACCACTTTATGGATGTATCCAACTTTAATACTTCCTTTCTTTGTCCATGTTTCAATCATAATATATTCCAATTGCATACTTTTTGCTAGAGCTCTATACTGAATACTTTCTTTTACAAAAATTACACATCCATGGTCTTCTTCCTAGCTTCACATCCCACACATGTCACCCTGTGCTCTCCCCACAGTTACAACATTTATCTTGTGCATTGTCCCCATATTCCTCATACCTATGGTTATCCCCACACCTAGGACACCTTTGCTGTCCTCTGCATCTGCTGCTAGATACCCATATTGCTGACATTTGTAGCATCTAAGAGGGGGAGGGATATATGGTCTAACTATGAAACACATGCATCCTATTTTGACTTTTTCTGGAGGGTAAGATCTTGAAACTTCAATGTCATCAACTCTATCAACTCTTTCCCCACTGACTGATCTTAATAGTCTTTTAACTCGACTCACTTCCAAACCTTGAATCCTCAGTTTTAGTTTTTCAAGATCCTCATCCACTGGAATCCCTGTTACAAACTATCATTCTCACCCCACTTCCTACCTTGTCCTTTTCTACCCGAGACCTCCGTCAAAGAATAAAAGTTCTTACTGTAAATGTCCTCCAGGCCTGCAGAGGGCGCCAAACAAACTGTTTGCAAAAGATGGATGAGTGAATTTTTAAGTGTTTTAAAACTAATCTCACATACGTGACATATTTTTGAGTATGATTATTTTCCACTTATGTGGATATAGTATATGTGCAGCACTGATTTGGTTTTTAGTGAAATTCATAAAAAATTTAATAACAAACATCAAGTGAAAAAAGGTTTTGATAAAAAACAATTTATCTCAAAAAACATTCAGGAACATTGTACATGTACTGTTTTGTATTTAAGTGTTGTAACCTTTTACTGTAATGCACAAAACAAAGTCACAAAACATTTCACCAATATAAAGGCAGCAGAATTTGAAGCATAGATGAAGTACATCTTATGAAAGTTTGACTTTATTTGACCCTAAAGAAGACAGAGGTCCAAAGTAACTTGATATTGACAATCCCCATGTATCATTCCCTACATGCTTTCAGTACCAATGGTAAATGGCCTGTATTTGTATACCAATGGTGACATATAATGGGCTCTATATAGCATTATCGTTATTTTGACTTTCAGGTTGATCTGTTGGATTTAGGGAGAGGTCAGAGGTCAAATCTGATATGATTTTTTTAAAAACGTTTATGCTTTGAAAATGTTGACATTACCCAGCACACTTAAGTTTTAAGGCTTTTTGTCAGTTTTCCACAAACAAATCATAAAGTCTACCTTGAAGACCTCGGTGAATTTAAGCCAGATTTTAATGGATTGTTATAACATGATCCTGCTCTACAAACTACAGAGTTTTATGAGAATACGAAAACTTTTAGAGCTGTTGTGTTTACAGACAGAATGAAATGCAAATCCTACCAAAAACATGAGCTCTTTGTTGAAGCCAATAAGAAACTGCTGAAACCATTTTGAGCTCCTCTTTACACATGATCTGTACTGATCAGATGCAGTATGTGTTAAAGCAAAACCATCTCTGTGTTCGTCATGCTCAGTGTTTATCTGATACACCAAGGAATGCGCAGCAATGAACGTTAGAAACCGATCCGACCGGATTGTCTGTTTTGTTTCCTGCGCCGCTCCAGTGACTCGTTTCACTTTGACAGTTTGGATTACTGTGTCATAGTCTGGGGTCTATCTGTGGTAAGTCTTCTTTTATTTGTTTGTTTTGTTTTGGGGGTTGTTTTTCAGTCAGAGAACAAACAAAAAAGAAGCTTACACTACAATTTGTGGTAAAAAAAACAAAGGGATTTTTTTCTACAAGTTACTGAATAAACTCTGAATAAAGTCAGAGTTTGTTTCTCTGTGAAACCGTGAACACATACAAGATGACAAATGTCTGTCAGTTGTTAAAAGCTCACACAAAGCTCGAACTGTAGCAGCAAAGTGTGAAAAAAGCTGTATTTATGTTTATAAAGAACTGTTCTTGGAGTCGTGCAGAGACCTGCACTTAAAGCAGGACTTTGTCTCATCGAGGTGACTTAAAAGAAACTCTGAGCTTTCAGTTTTAGTTATGTGCTTGTTACGGCCAGAGGGCCAGGCGGTGAGTGTGGACTCAAATGCAGACAAAGAGGGTAAGCTGGCGTGATGCTTAGTTTAATTACAGAGCAGGAAAAAATGTAGGCTATGAACTGTGAAGGCTATGAACATGAAGCTCAGACTGTGCGCTATGACTAGATGCTAGATTTCGTGACCGGATCCTGGGAAGGAAAAGGGGCAGCGGCCTGGGTGGAGTCACTATTACGAGAAGAGACTGGCAGTCAGTAGCAGTCTAGTGAATCTCTGTCGGTGGATTCAACTATGATGGATATGGCTTATGTGTAGCACCTGAAAGTGGCATGCGATGAGGGTGTCCAAGGGGTCCGGGTGAGGAGAGGTCCAAGAATGTCCGGAATATACTTGGAGCAACAGACACTACTTAAGTTACACTGCTATGGAGCAGGTTAATTTCAAAATAAAAGGTCATAGTCTAAGCTCCTGGTGAGTGTTTGATGGGTCACCTCCAGCCTTGGCTGAGCCTTTGTGCTTTTCTTTAATGTATTTGGCAAATATAAAACACAGGGGTGTGTTTACTACACTGTCAAATAACACTTATGCCCTCCTCAGGACTTTGATTTTGGCTGTGTTATAGCTTGTGACATGGATTTTTTTTCTTTTTAGTCAAATTTTTGAAATCTAGTGTCTTTTGCTCTTACATGTCACCCATACTCTGCTGATGTATTTTGCACCATTTTGACACCTTTGTGTGCAAAAATCTGCACGTACAAAATCTCCCATAAAATCCTCAAACAACAATATTTTTTCTCTGCTTTTTTCATAAATCACTTAATCAACTTGAGCCCTTTTTAAAATGATCAAACATTAAATTATTTTCAGGATTTTAAGCCTTTAAATGCAGTTGGAGTGATTTATATGGATGTATGTGAAACAATTTTC